GGAGAGTGTTGGGCCCCACTTCTAGACCACACTCAGCATGCTCATGATGTATTTATGGGCACATACGAGAGTCTCAGGGTCTCTCTCTGTCTCTGTCTGCCTGTCTGTCTGTCTCTCTCTCAGCATGTTCAAGGGCATTAAAAATAAGTTAATGTTTTCAGCCAGTCCTAAGTAGCATAAAGAAAATAAAACAGGGTCTCACCAATAGAGGAAGGAAAGAAAGAAAGGAAACCCACTTAAGACTGTGGTCAAGGAAGGCTTCTGGGAGGAGGTAGTTTTTGAACTATGAGCAGGAGGTTGCCATTAAAGATTGGGGGAAGATCATTCTAGGCCAAGGGAATAACAAGTGCAAAGGCCCTGAGGTGTGATAAATGAAGGGTAAGTGAGGTGTGAAATGAGGCAGGTGGGGCCTGATCATAGCAGGCCCTGGGAAAAAATCTGTAGCACCTAGGTGAAAGACATGGAGGGAGGTGGCTGGGCTCCTAATAGAGTTGGAGGTACAGTTAATAGTAGCTGCTTATTTTTTGGGAAAGGGAGGTGGCAAAGGAAGAGCCCCTTACTACTGAGTCCAGATTCCTGTGACCCTGGGGTCTTTCTCAGAATGGTACCCTGGACATGGAGCATAGATGCCAGTCCACATCTAGTCAGCCCCTCCTTTATGGAGGGGGAGACTGAAGACCTGTAGAGGTCACCTTGCCCAGTCTCCTCCTCAGAGAGGGCCTGTGGTTTCTCCAAGGTTCCCTGAAGTCCAGTGACTGGTTGAGACTCAGGCTGGGACTTCATGTGACTCCACCCTCCTGGAATTGGAAGAGTGGGGAGAATTCACTGCTGGGGGCTTACCTTACCCACATGGCTGCATGTCAAGATCACCTAGAGAGCAGCCTGAAAGACAAGACCAGGCACTGCCCTGGAATCCTGCAGAAATGGGCGTAACCTCATGGAAGGTCTGAGGACAGGGAGCCAAGGCCTTCTTGGGCGAGGAGGCTGGGGCAGCACCCTCAGGTTGGGGAAGGGGGGAGGGTGGAACCTCTTGGCACCTGAGTGAGTCCCTGCCCCTCAGGCTCATGGAAGAGAGACAGGAGCAAGATCTGAGAAGGTAGAGACATGGAGAAGCTTCCTGCAGGGACCTCAGAAGCCCTGACCAATTTGGATGAGGCTAGTGGTTCACCGGGGCCCAGCTAGGTCTGCAGCCCTCTGACCCACCCCAGCTCTGAAGCCTGGTGGTAGCTGCTCCAGAGGAAGGATGAAGAAAGGCAGGAAGAGGCCAAGATGCACCTGCAGCACTACAAGGAATCCTAGTTAAGTGACCTGGATTTAAATCTGCTCTCTTGTAAGAACAGTAAAAGTAGCAACTACTGGAGCTCCTACCTTGAGCTTCTGGGCTAAGTTGTTATTGTCTGCCTTGTCCCCAGGCTGGCCTTGAACTGGGATCCTCCTGTCTCTGCCTCCATAGTCACTGGGCTTATAGATGTGACCTCTCACACCCAGCTCAGAATCAGCTTTTGAAGCCAGCTTCTTAACCCTGGGGGCTCCTGCCTCAGGTTCCCCAGGACCTTAGGCCAGGCTCTTGCCCTCCCTGGGTCTTAGTCTCCAGAGCCATAAATCAACGGAGAGGGATAAGGATGTCCTTGGGCCCTTGCTCTCTGCCTGGGGGTCGGAATTGCTTCTCTAGCAGATTGTGTCCCCCAGAAGTCAGATGGAGGGCACAAGGGACTGGTCCTGGAACTGTGTCCTTCACTAGCCTGGGCAAAGCAGTGTGTCAGGCCACTGCTTCCTCTGCATGACTCTTGTATGAGTCAATGTAGGCGATGTCTCTAGAGCCTGGCACATGCCAGGGGATAGGGCCTCATGTTTGCTCTCATTATTTGGTAAATGCCTCCTAGGTGCCAGAAACTATTCTAGATATTGGCAACACAGTGGTGCTCAAAATAGCATTGACTCCCTGCCTTCAGGCAACTTAGTCCTCTAAGTGGGGGAGCCAGTCCAAAAAAAAAAAAAAAAAGGTACCAACAACTAGTATGTTAGATAATGCTAGGTGCAGGAGGGAGGAATGGAGTATGCAAGGGGCAGAGGCAGTGCCCTGGGCGAGGTGGAAGGCTAAAATTTTAAGTCAGGAGACGGAAGATATTGTGCAGGTGACTTCAGAGTCAGGTCCCAGGGAGGGAGGGTGGCTCTCAGGGAAGAATGGACTAGGTGGCCTGCCACACTCATTCTAGGGAACCCGCATTTGAGGAGTCCAGGTTAGGAGAGCTGAGGGACTAAGGACAGATTGTGGAGGGCCATTTTAGGGACTGTCTTTGATGGTTAGTAAGTTCATGTGTCCACAGTCAAAACTCAGACTCCCCCACAAGGTTCTGAAATTTTTCTCCCCATCACTGATGCCATCTGCACTGGTTTGCGGTTCCAGGGCTGTATGTCCCTCAGAACCCTGGCCCAGTGCTCTGGGGTGCAAGGTGGTCTGAGGGTTCTGAAATTAGGAAATAGATACAAATGTCAGTTTGCAAAGATTCCAGGAGGGCTGCCGTTCCTGATCCAACCCGGAGCAACCTAAATTCAGGGTGGCCCCCAGCGAGCTGGGAGCGCAGCCCGGTGCATCTTCTGGGTGGGTGAGAGAATAGCGAGGGAACCTTCAGCTGGCCACACCCTTGGGCTTCAAAGTTGTGCATCAGTTCAGGACAGTCTTTGAAAGCGACTCAGCAAGAAGGCAGGCTCTAGCTCTAGAACGAGCAGCTGTCTCTCCTCCTCAAGGTTTTGCGTCATGTCTGTTTCCCCTTAGAGCTTAACAGCAAAGCTTTTTAGAAGGACTCACAGTTTGGACTTACGGGGGAGTAGGAAGGAAGAGCATTCCTGCCCACAATGCAACTCATTGGGTGACAGTGGGTGGGGTGCATCCCTCCAAGGGACAGTGGGTAGAGACTGCGGCAGAGACTGGAAGGGTCCAGGCATCCTGGGCTCCTTAGCAGATCTTGGGTGGACCAGGGGTCCTTAAGACCTGTTGGCCCAGGAAACTGACCTGATCTTCTATGGGGGGAAGGGGTGGGAGGTATAGGCTGTAAGTTCTAGAAAGTTGAGGAGGGCGGGTGACAGGATGTGGGGAAGCAAGGCCAGCACACTGGAGACAAGAAATTTTGTTTTAAGGGCATGTAATGGGTTAGGAAGGAGAGTTGTTCCAGCTAGACCCAGGTTCCAGTCTCTGGACAGGTTGAACTGTGCTCTTTAAGCAAGTGCTAAGTATCCTCTAATTCCCCCAGGAAGCCAGGGAAAAAATGGTTTGAGGGATTAAATGAGACAGCTGCTAGGAGCTTGGTAGGTGCTGAGGAAGGGGAGAGCCCACATTTGGGAAGCAAGGCCAGGTTGGAAGGTTTGGTTGGGGGGTTGAGCACAAGAGAACACAGGGGGTGCATTCATTCCTTCTCAATAGTACCAGGGTTCCACTGCCTGTGCTGATGTGGGGACATAGAATGGGGCCTTTGGGCTCTGACCAAAGAGACTGGCTGCTGCCCAGGTAAGCTGTGTGTAGCCAAGGGCCTGATGAAAACCTGTGCTCAGAGTTACCAAGGCTTCAAGAGAAGTCAGGAGCGTAGATCTGGGATATGAAATCTGCCAGTTGGGAATCAATTAACCAAACAAAGTCAAGAAATACCATGCAGTCCAAACCAAGTCCACCACCTGGTTGGTGACCCCCTTGCCCTGGCAAGGGTGGCATGAGGACGGGTCCCCAGATGTCAAGGTGTCTTCCTGGGAGAAACTTCCTCCTCACTCTCCAGCTTTTGGAGATGGGCTCTTTGGCCCAGTGTCCAAGGCCTCTTGGAAGAACAGGGTCATCTTCCTGGGCTGTGTGATCCTGAGCAAAATCTTTGACCTCTCTGGGCCACAGTCTCCTGGCCTATGAAAGGACCTGATCTGAAAGAACTACCACCAGTTTGGACAGTGTGTGACTCAGTCCCTCAGGCTCGAGGGAAGATGTGGTTATTATGGAAGTGACTCTTCCTTGGCTCCGTGCTTCCGGATTGGATGTGGTGTGGTCAGGCATTTTGTTGGCCACTCTCAACATTTGTGTGTGTGAGAATGTAGGTGTGTCATGATTTGGAGCTTTGGATGGCACAGTGTAAATATCATTGTTTTAATAACCCTGCTAGAGTCTTTCATCCCACTGTTCTGGAAGCCGGTAGGAGGCCTTAATTAATTTCCTGTGACCTGGGGAGGGAAGGGGCCTTCTTCCCCATTTGCAGTTAGGGAAACCTAGGGCTAGAGCTGGGAGTGACTTGACTGAAAGTGTACCCCTGGGACTCTTGACTCAAGTGTTGGTTTCATGGTAGTGTGTGTGTATAGGAGAGGTCCCTCACTCAATGGGGGAGACTAAGATTAGGATTTGAGGGTCTCCTCTGTGCTCATCACAGGAGAGTTGAGCTGGGGGGAAGAAAAGCATCTTTGCCTTTGATTTTTTTCTCTGGGGGGAGAGTGTGCCAGAGCCCAGGTTACCTCCCCGGGCCTTTATCCACGCCCCTACATCTCTGGCCCCTCATCTGCCTGGTCTGTGTCTCCGCAGCGCTGGGAGCCTGGAGGTGGCTGAGCCCCAACTCTCTAACGCCACTTTTGCATTAGAGAAAGGCCCCGTCCCCTAGCCTTCAGAGGACAGAGAACCGGCAGGGGGAGAGGAGGCTCTGGGTATAGAAAATCCCGGCTTTTGTGCGCCCTCCTTCCCCTTGCCCCCACCGTGCCTTCTCCACCTGTGCCCTGTGCTGTCCCCGGGTGGCAGTGCCTACATGAGCTCCTCGGCCCCACGCGCAAGGCCGCATTCCCGTACGTGGATCCTGCGGGAGGGGGGCTCAGGGCACTGAGTTCTCGGCTGCTGCCCCCCAGCGTCCCCAAGCTCGCAGGGCGCAGGGCGCGGGCCCTTTAAATCCTCCGGGGCGGCGGCGGCTGGCCGGGGATGACATCAGCGGGCGGGCCCGGGGCTCAATGGGAGCTGCGGGCGCGCGCCGGCCGGGAGCGCGCGAGCCGGCGGCGGGGGCGGGCGGCCGGGAGGAGGGAGGTGGCGGCGACGGCGGCGGGAGTCCTGAGCCAGAGCCCGGTCGGGCCGAGCGGAGCGGAGCGCGGCGGCGGCTGGGCCAGGAGAGGCTGGCGCGCCGGGCGGCCCCGCGAATCCTCCGGCATCCGCCCCGGCGGGCCGCCCCCGCCCGCGGCAGCCCCCCGAGCAGCGGCCCGGCACCGGCGCCTTCCCGGCGGGGTAAATATTGGGGGGCCGCAGGCCCGCAGAGGGGCGCAAACCTGGGGGGAAATGGGGCTCCCTCCGCCTCTTTGTTTTTGCGGGAGAGGGAGGGAGCGGAGGGCGGACACGCGCGTTCGCGCCGGGGCTGGGAGGGCAGTCCGGGCGCCGCCCGCTCGGCCCGCGAGGACAAAGGCGCGGCTGGGGACAGGGAGGAGGGGGACTGTTATTTGGTAGGCTTGCTCGGAGGAGGCCCTCCCCACTCCAGCCCGCCGCCTCCTCCCCCAGCTGGACCCTTCAAGGCCCCAGCTGCTGAAGCGGCCACCGGGTTGTGATTTGGCGACCCTGAGGGAAGGGACCTAGCATTGGGGTGCAGGGGCGGGGGGCACCCGGTACTGTTGATTTGGATTTCCCGGCCAAACCCTGGGCTTCTGTAGGTTTCACCAGACAATCAGCTGCGTCCCTGTCCTCTCCCTGGTGCCCCAGATCCAGGGTCAGCAAGGCTGTCGCGGCTTGTTGGATGGGGTGTTTGGAGGGCCTAAGGTGATGGGGTGCGTGGTCACCCAGGCCACCGGCTTTGTTTTCCTTTGTGGAGAGAGGAAGGGAGGGGGTTTTGTATCCGACGGGATTCTCCCATTTCTGCGTGTGAGAAATCCACGTTCTGCAGCTCTCTGTGGAACGGCAAGCTACCAGAGGGCTCCCAACTCCTCTTAATGCCCCAACTCAGGGAGGCGAGCCCCCTCCCCAACTTTGCCCTGAGTTTTCTGACATATTTTCTCCTTAGCATAAACCTCCCTGAGAGAGAAGGGATACAGTGTCTTAAGTAGATCCCAACAGATGGCCTGTGTTTGGGTCTCCTTTGCCTTTGGTCTAGGATGCCCATCAGTTTTTATTTTAACAGTCAGTTCATTGAGGGTCCTGTTCCTGGGGAAGGGCAATGATGTCAGGAAGTGAAAAACCTGCCCACGTGCTGCACACTGGTTGGTAGTTTGTCTAATTTGTCCAGCCAGCTGAAACTCCTGAGTGTCCTGAATGCTTGTGTCTGCTCTTTATTTTTATTTTTTTTTTACTTTGTTTATCTCCCCCACCACACCCTGCCCCCATGGGAGAAGCAGTCAAAGAACTGGAAAGCTTCTGCCATTCCCTGATGATGCCTTCTCTCCCCTCTGGGGGGCTTCTGGGGGAAGGAGTGCTGGTACAGGCTACATTCTCCCTAGAGCCCTGGGCCCCCAGGGGTGGGGAGACCCTGCCAGACTGGGTGACTAGCACAGAGCAATTGTAGGCTCCTGCAGGGCTGATGGTTTGCACCCCGCCTCCCCTTCTCTGCAGACAGCCGGGTGAGTGGAAAGGAGCTGGGGGTCTTGTGCGGTGTATTTATGTAAGACACCCAGACAGAGGGCATGGGTATTTATATAACCCGGTGTGAGTATTTATGTAATATAGGATGCCGGTGTATTTATGTTCCTTCCCTAACCTGCGGCTTTCCCAGCTGCCTTGTGTGTGGTCTCTGAATTGGTGTTGGTGGAAACCGGGCTGGGGGTGGCTGTATATACACACTCACGCCCCCCACCCCCAGCGGGGCTCTTTGTGCTGTCCGCCTGTCTTCCTTTGGTGGTGCACACTTGAGAAGTTGGACAGTGTGTGGACATGGGGTGAGTGACGTGCAGGTTTCCTGCAAATGTGGAGTGTTGTGGCTGTGGGCTACTTCAGCTGGGCCAGGCCAGGCATGTGGGCAAAGGCCCCGGATGGAACACCTAGAGGTCAGCTGGCATGGGGAGAACGCCACTCCCTTGTAGCTGTTGAAAGGCTCATAGTAAATCCCCCAGAGCTGCTGCTGGCCTGGGGTGTCCTTCCTGGGCAGGAGCATGGTTCTGCTCAGCTGAAGCGCTTGGCCTGACCGTCGGTGGGGTAAATCTCCCAGCTCCTTTGCTGGGCTGTGTGGCTGCTGGTGGTAGCCCTTGGCATGGGAAGGGGCAGTTCCTTCATGCCAGTACAGCAACTCTCCCACCTTCCTGTTTTGCCTCCTGGCCCTGGCATAAAATAAGACCTGTGTGTCAGGGTGCGAGGTCACCAGATGGGCCATCAGGACACCCTGTCCTGTCATCATCGGTGAGGCTCTGCCACTGACTTGCTGCTGGATGGGGTGGCTGTGTTGGCAAGGCCTCTTCTTTTTTGAGTTCCCATTTGGTCACCTACACTGGCCTTCATGTAAGCACACCAAGATTTCAGGGACATCCCCCTCTTCCTCTCTATTTCATAGTTTACTGTTCCTGTTCTCCCAGTAGTCACAACTGCCCCCGGCTTTTGAGTGTCCTCATTTGCTAACCTGGAGCACAGGTGTCCTGATCATTACCCCAGGCCAGCACAGAGGGGTTCCTGCCAGGGTGACCAGGTGCTATTGTCTTAGGCTTGAGGCACTCAGGGTGGGTTGCAGTAAGGAGGGAAGCTGTTCAAATCAGAACCCCCTCTGCCCCACAGGGACTGATGACTTAAAAACCTAGCTTGGTTCACTGCAGTCGCTGTATATACAGGTCTCTCTCTCAGGAGACCTTCCCTCCTAGACTTGAATGAAGCCAGCCCCAAAAGTCTGTCCAAAGACAAACATGCAGAGGCTTGGGAGAGGTTCTCATGCCCTGAGCAGAGTGGGTTGACTCAGGGGTCCCCTGAGTGGGGGTCAGACCCCTCCTGCAGGGAACTCTGAGAGCCAGCATGTCTGGCCAGAAGCAGTGCTTGGGAAGACCAGTGGGCTGTGGAGGCCTTGCCTAGTTCTAGGCACTAGAAACCTGGGCAGGGGGGTGGTGATGGGGGACCCTGGCATTTCAGAGGCCTAAAGGGGCTTAGTACCTCTCTTCAATTTGCTCTCCTATCCCTGGAGGTGGGACTTGCTGTTGGTTACCATGGTAATGCCCGCAGGATGGTCCACTCCTGCTGATCTCATTCCTCTTGTCTTGGTCGCTTTTCTGGGGTCCAGGGTCCTTCTTTGGGATGTTCATGCTCCAGGGAAGCTTGGAGAAGACTTTGGGTCTTTGGTTTCTTAGGGCTGTAGAGATTCACTGATAGCCAAAGATGCATGGTCCCTCTGCTCCTGCATCCCCTCCCTGTCCCTGTTACCCCTTTGTCCCTGATTTCCCTTTCAGGGCCTTGGCCCATTGTGACCAGCCTCCCCCTTGACAGGCTCCTATTAGAGGGTCCCTGAATGAATGTCCTCTAAAGAGATGCTCACATGGCTGTCTCCTCTCGGGCCTTGGCTCTAATTCCACCTTTTCCAGGCTAGGCTGAAACCTGTTCTAGACCTGCCTCAGCTGTTCCCCAGGTGTGTGGGTGTGTGGGCTACCTGATTACCTGACTACGTGGTTGCCCTCAAGCAAAGGGAGGCCAAATTGCTTCCTGGGCAGTGGGAGGGAGAATGCTAGCCTTTCAAGTCCCTTGTGGCTTTGCCTGGCCTTCTGTGGGGAAAAGGTGGGGGTCTCCTTTGCAGCTCCCCATTCTCTGACCCCCTGTGTTTCTGCTTCCTTCTTCAGCAGGGTAAATCATGGAGCTTCGTGTGGGGAATAAATACCGGCTGGGACGTAAGATCGGCAGTGGGTCCTTTGGAGACATCTACTTGGGTAAGTGTTCCTTGTTGCAGCGGGAGAGCTGGGATGGCCGTGGGGATGAGGAGGAGGGAGGAGTACAGGATTTCAGGCTCTGAAGACAGAACTTTGCTCCAGTTCCATGATTTGCCTCTGGGGCTGTCCAGATGGGGAAGGAAGCCTCAGGTGGAGGGGAGGCAGCCTGGGGCTCCCCTCACAGCTGGGAGGGGTGGGGCTCCCACTTGCTGTGCTGGCCAAAGGGTATTTTTAGCCCTGATTTCCAGCTGCAGCTGACCTGGGCCTCCAGCTGGGCGTGGGAAAGCCTAGACTGGGTTGGCATCCCTGTCTCTTGAGTCCTTGGAGGATGCTGGTAGATGCAGGGTACAGGGCCTGGGTTACCGCTCTTTGCCCTGCGCATGAGGCTTCCTCTCTGTGATCTAGCCTCCTGGAATGCAGCCCAGGCAGGCTGTGGAACAACAAGGGGAGGGGTCTCCGCCTGCAGGGAACTCTTACTCCGGATGTGCTTCCTGTTAGACGTCTGTTTGTTCTGATGCTGTCATTTTAGCAAGGCGCTGGTATCTCTGCCCTCTGGCCTGAGAGAAATGAGGCCTCTGCCTTTGAATGCTACTTTTCTAGCCTGTGGGGGAGCTGAGGGCATGAGTCAGACCCTTCCTTTGCAGGTGTTGGTCTGCAGGGGAGAGATTTTGGTTGGTAATTGGAGATGGGTTGGTGGTTGGAGTTGTTAGGGTAAGATGGCAAGTCCCCTGGGGTTTATTCTTGTTTCGTCCCTGAGCCCTCCGAAGCAGGCCTGAGCCACATCTCTGCCTCTGTTTCAATCTTGAACAAGGAAAGGCAATCAGTTTTGTTGTGGGCAGAGAAAAACGACAAGTCAGTGTGCTGTTCATTAATTCAGACTGTAAGACTTTCTCTTCCTCAGTGGTCAGAGTTCCAGACCCCTTGGAGTATGAAGTCTGGGAGCCTCAGAGGGGACCAGGGAGGGCTGTGCACAGCCTCTTAGCACTTATCTGAATGTGTTTGACCTCAGGGCAGCTTCTGGAGATCTGCTGATGAAACTGAGGTGTAGCATGGTCAAGGTGACCACCCAAGGTCACATCAGAAAACTCCAAAGACAGCCTTTCCACTGACAGCTGTATTGAGTGAGAATATACAAGACAGAATGTGGGAGACAGACCTGAGGTCTAGAGCTTGCTTTGGGTGGTTACCCTGTAATCTTAGTGTCCCCATCTGTAAAGTGTGTGTGTTGACACTGCCTGATTGTCCAAGTACTCTTATGAGGCACAAATGAAATGGTGGCAGGAGAGCATTTTGTAAACTGTGAAGTGCCAGCTGAAAGGGCATTCATTGTCAAGCGCCCTACAGATCACTCTCCCCTATAAACAGGACAGGGAAGGAGAGTGTGCAGTAGTAGGTGGTTTAAAGGTTTTCTCTAACTGGACATAGTGGTGTGCACCTGTGATGCCAACTGTTGGAGAGGATGAGGTGAGAGGATAACTTGAGCCTAGAGCTCAATGTCAACCTGGGCAACACAGATCCCCGCTCAAAAGATAAATAGGTAAAATCAAGGTGTTCTCTGCATCCACAGGCTCCTCCCAGGAGGAGGCCCACAGTGCATGTCTAGTGAAAGCTCATCAAGTGAATGAATGAGAAAATAGGGACTGTAGCATGCAAAGCCTCACTCTGCAAGATGGCAGAGGATTGAGATTTGGGGACAGGGCTAGGCTCAGGTTTCCAGTCTTCCCTTATTTGCCGTGTTACCTGGGATAAATCACTTTCTCTGAGCGCTAATATTCTTGTCTATGCAACAGGGGTACCATCTTCTGTTAGTGAACTTGGAGTGGGTGTAAAGACCCCTCCCCATTATAGGCTGTCAGGCTCAACACTGAAGGACACAGAGGCAGCTCTTGGCACACAAGAGTCACCTGCTCTCAGGCAGCACCCTGTCCTGGCCCTTTTTCTGCAGAAGGGACATGGAAGGCCCACAGAGAGGGAGGGAAAGCCCAAGGTCACTCAGAAAAGCCAGTGTCCCTGGCTCATGTGTTGAGCCTCCCTTAGGGGCAGGGCTTCCTGTTTATCCACAGAGTTATCTTGTTTATTTTAAAATCTTAAGTCCAGGTTTACTCCTGCTTGTGTCAGCTCCTTCCCTCTAACTAGCTAAAGCCCTCTAGCTAGGCAGGCCTTCCCCAGCCTCGGCTTTCCTCTGGAAGATGGAGTTGTGAAGAGCGATGTGATGAGACCCTGGCATATACAATGCCTGCATGGGCCCAGCAGTGGTGCTTTTCCTCTGTGTCCCACCCTCAGGCTCAGTTGGCAGCTGCTGTTTTCCAAGGATCTTGGTCCTCTTGGCCTATATGGGGGAGGGAGCCAGTTCTTCCACTCTCCAGCCTTTGCTGGTGCACCTCCTGCTGGCACTGGTGTGGGAACAGCGGTGACTGTAGTGCTTCCCCAGCTGGTCTTGCTGGCTCCCTTTGTTTAGAGTGTTGGCCACATTCTCACCACTGGTGCCCAAGCCAGGGCCTGACTCCAGATGGCCTCTACAGGTGGGGCCAGGCATGGCTTCCAAACCCTGCTTTCCAGGATCTACCAAGGGCACGTATGTACTGGGTGAGCACATGGTTGGTGTGTCTGTGAGGCCCACAGCTCCCTTGTAGGTCTGCCACCCCTGGCATCATAAGGCAGCAACAAGGACAGTGGAACCCTTTTGCTAAGGGCCTTAGAGGTGGCTAGGGCTGGTCTCTCACTGTCTTCGTATCCTGGGGAACTCCAGACCTTTTTGAATCTCTGGTTCTCAACTCTGAAGGGAAGAAAATGCTCCCTGGACAGGTAGTTATGGGGTGAGAGTTGGTGCGGGGAAAACTGCAGTCCTCTGATAGGTGGGAGCTGGAGTTGCTGCTGCTGCTGCTGGAGCAGATGGGCTTCACCCTTTACCCTGTGGATCACCAGGTTCATGGGTCTGTCTGTGAGAGTGTCTGGCTTGAGCTCCCATATGGGGTTGCTTACCACCCTCCCCACCTACCGCTTCTCAGTGTTCTAGGCCTTTTGGGGCTAGCCAGGCTCCTTCCCTTCTCTGCCTCCAAGTTTGTTTGGGGGACTGACTAGGCCCTGCATGATGCTGCTGTATCTGACCCGTCAGCCATGTTCTTCTGTACCTGACATGGGGCCATTCCTTCTGACTTCCAGGCTTTTGCCTACCTGGCCCCTTTCCAGCACACCTAGCCCAACCACCTCTTCCCCCCCCCCCAGGCTCCCCTCTCATCCTCTGCCCTATCTCCTTTCCAGGCCAGTTGCCCTTTGTTTCTTACACGGAAGGTGGGCAGAGTTCCAGGGCAGCCCTGCCCCATCTCATCTGCTCCACGCTCAGGACTACCTGTGCATCTCAAGTCCTGGCTGTGCTCCACCAGGTTCTGTCTGACCTGGGCCAGTTACTTTACCTCTCTGAACCTTAGCTTAGTGGTTGGGAGAACTAAGGGAAATCAGAAAAGACTGGCTACTTCCTGGTGGGAATCCAAGGCCATGAGGGTCTGGTAGTGGAGGAGACAATCGTGGCACAAGGCTTTCTGCGCTTGGGGTCGGAAGACTGCCTAACAGTTCCAGTGCCTGACCCTGGGAAGTTGCATGGCATATGGTCATTTGACCTTTGGTGTGTTGGTTTTTCAGTGTGTCAAGGACATGCAAGCAGTAGTGCTAGCAGGACAGTGTCAGAGTTCAGGGGACTGCCCTGCACCTTTCAGGCCTCTCTTCCTTTTGCATGTCTGCTGAGTCACCCAAGCAGTGCTAAAGGCCCTGCCTCAGGTGTCATTGTTGTCTGCACCCTGCCTGAGCAGGGCTACCTTCAGCTCCTGCCTGGACAGCAACAGTGGCCTCCTCCTGGTTCTCCCTCCCCCTCAAGTCTCCACTAACCCTCTGGTTTTTTTTTTGTTTTTTTCTGGGCAGTACTTGGGTTTGAGCTCAGGGCCTTACACTTGCTAGGCAGGTGCTCTACCACTTGAGCCACTCCATCAGCCCTGTTTTGTGTTGAATATTTTCAAGATAGGGTCTCGTGAACAATTTGCCCAGGCTGGCTTTGAACTGAAATCCTCCTGATCTCTGCCTCCTGAGTAGCTAGGATTGCAGGCGTGAACCACCAGCGCCCAGCTTCCTCTGTTTTCTTCAGCTACCCGGGCTCCCACCACATCAAGCAACTCAGAGGTAGCTATGCCCCTTTCTGTCCAGCCTTTGCACATGCCATGACTTCTGTGTGTCTGGCACGGTCCTGCTCCCCATGCCAGGTGCTCTGGCGGTGCTCTGGCTGTGCTCCCTCTAAGGAGACAATCCCTTCCTCCAAAGTGTCACTTATTTCTGCTTCCTTTGCTCCCACGTGGGCAGCTTCTGCCACACCACCACCTCACTCCCAATACTGGCTCATCTCTCTAGCCCAAGCCGGTCGTTCCTTATTAGCCCTCACATTGTGGAGCAGTAACCGTGTGTCAGGGACTCTGCTAAACTCACTGGTGTGGCAGAATAGCCATGCGAGCTGGGTTCCGCCAAGGTTTGCAGATGTGGCACCTGGCACAGAGGGGTCAGTGACTTACCCGAGGCCCCCTGGCTAGGAGATGGCAGAGGCAGGACACTTTCACCCACTGCATACTCTTGCCTCTTGTGCCCACGTCAAGATGGGGCATGACAGTGAATTGTAGGGCACTGCAGCTCCCTTCCTGTACTGTGTCCTCCTGGCCCCCTGGAAACCTGTGGGCTCTACTGAGTGGTGAGTGTTGATGTGTCAAAAGTATTTTACAACTTGGAAACTTAGTGTTTCTCCCATTGCTCACTGAATTTAGTCATCTATTCTACTTTTACACAGCTCTTAAATCAAAATACAAGACTGGGTGTGGTGGTGTGTGCCCATAATCCAGCTACTCAGGCTCTGAGGCAGGAGGGTCACAAGTTTGAGGCCTGTCTCAGAATAGAAATAAAAAAGGGGCCAGCTGTGGTCACTTCTGCCTGTAAAACCTGCTACTCAGGAGGTAGGGATTGGGTGG